CTGGCGCGGCGGCATCCAGGTCTTGGAGGCTCCCCGCAGGAGCAAGTCTTGGACAAGCCTGCCACGGGTGGAGATGCAACACGTCAGAGAGCCTTGTGAGCCTTGGCTTTGGAACAACCAGCCTAAAGGGCCCAGAGGCCACCGGTAGTCCTCGATGTGTCTGTTTCGAGCCAAGGAATTCCAATTGGACGAGGAGCGTTGTTTCTGTTCACTTTCTGTCCGCCAGGATGTCCGGCTGCCAGGAGCCCGGGCAGTCGTTGGCGAAACAGGCCGTGCAGGCGAAGGCGGAGCCTTTCCAAGCAGCGTGAGCATCTGACGGGCTTGCCGAGTTGGCCACGGCTTCTGCAGGACACCCCGCACGTGTGTCTGGTGAGCGTGGCCTTTATCCCCGGCTTCGGCTTGCCATCGGCCAACCCTCTCTGGGGCGGAGCCACGGGCATCTGGGTGGGCAACCTGCCCGGCCTTTGCCGCGAAGCCGAATTCGACCTTTTCCTTCGCCGCCTGGGCTTCCCGAACGTGCAGATGTCCATGCCTCGCAAGGCCAGGGCACCCAAGCGAAACAAGGGTTTTGTGTTTCTGAATCCCGGAAAGACCAAGCTGTTGATGTTAGTGAACGCCCTCTGGGGCCGCCGGCTCCTCCACCGCGCGCGCGAGCACCCGCTCGTGTTGCGGCCGCAGAACTTGCATAATCTGCAGGAGCGCTTCGGCCAGATCTTGAAGCCAAGCATGTAACTCACAGCTTGCGTTCAGTCCGACGCTGCCGAGCCTTGGCGACTTCGCACTGTCAGCGAGCATCGCCACAGCTGCCACCAGTGTCAGGCACATTTAATCTGGCAGCCACTATCGCATGGGGAACACCCTGCGAGCGTTTTTGGCTTCGTTCCAACATGTTCCAACATGTTCCAATGTCGCCTGCAGTCCACACTTTCTATGCGGCCTGAGGGAAGAGATTGTCAGCAGATGCTTAGCCAGTGTAGCTGCTAAGCTGCTAGCTGAGAAACGCGGAGTTGTCGTTCCTGTCCATTTGGCAGCATATCCCTCATGCCGCGGTGCACCTGGTGCACATTTTCAGTCTTGGATCTCTCCCGAGACGACTTGTTCATGTGATGGTTCCTGAACGGATCCCTTAACGGAT